CAACCAGTGTTCTTAACCGCTGAGCCATCTCTCCAGCCCCATTTTTTTTTATTATTTTTATTTTATGTGTATGTATGTTTTGCCTGCATGTAGGTAAGTGCACCCATGTTATACAAAGCCCATGGAGGTCAGAAGAGGCTGTTGGATCCCTTCAGACTGGAGTTTCGGATAGTTGTTAGTTGCCATGTAGGTGCTGAGATTCAAACCCGGGTCTTCTGCAAGAACAGCCAGTGTTCTTAACCACTGAGCGATCTCTCCAACCCTGTAATCTCCATTTTTAAGCAGTCTTAAATTCTCGGGAGCCTCAATTTTCTTAACCTGTTAAACAGTGACATTAGCAGTATAAGTTTCCAGTGATGTAAAAAATACTAAAATGTAGGAGTCACCACCGCCAGGCTGCCCCCAGGAGTTCCTTGAAATGAGGGATACCAGGGACAGACTAGCACTGACAGAGCTGAGTGTCAGAAGCACATCCACCCCTACTTCATCTGGAACAACCTGTTTTGATAGGCTGCCACAATATTTGTTGCACTTTTAAGCTTTTTAAAAGGAAACAGTAAAATCCCAGCAAGTCCATAAACTTATTCTTTGCTTGCTGGTTTTCCAGGCTCTTTATGTCCCAGGGCAAAGAATTAGACCAGGGATGCAAGGTTAGAAATAGAAACTGCCAGGAGTGGTTGTGCACACTTCTGATCTCAGCACTTTGGAGGCAGAGGCAGGTAGATCAAGTTCCAGGCTAGTCAGGGCTACAGAGATTGTGAGACCCTGTCTCAAAAAATAATTGGGGAGGAGAGATGCTGGGGAGATGATAGCTCAGCGATTAAGAGTGGTTGCTCTTGCAGAGGATCTGGGTTTGTTTCCCAGCACTCGTACGGCAGCTAACAACTGTCCATAACTCCAGTTTCAGGGGAATTTGACATCCTCTTTTGACCTCTGCAGGTATTGCATGCCACAGATGCACTTACATACATGCAAGCAGTACACACACACATAAAAATATTTTTAAAAATTGAGGGCTAAAGAGATGGCTCAGTAGTTAAGAGTGTATACTGCTCAAGTCCAATTCTCAGCACCCATATCAGAGGCTCACAACTGCCTGTAACTCCAGCACTGAACATGTGCACAAACCCACACAGATAATATACTTTTTTGTTTTTGGAGGCTCTAGAGAGATGGCTTAGCAGTTAAGAGCACTAGCTGCTCTTGCAGAGGACCCAGGTTCAGTTCCCAGCACCCACAGGTTGGCTACCATCCATATCTCCAGTTACAGGGGATCTGACACCCTCTGGTCTCTCTGGGCACTGCACGAATGTGGTGCATATACAGAAAAGCAGGCGCATGCACACAAAATTTAAAAAAAATAATTGAAATAGTTTATTAAGGGGAAGCACTTGAGAATGGGAGTGGGCTAGTGAACTGAGAAAAATGCTGGGCCATGAGCCATGTGGCCCTTAACTGGGCATTTACATAGCATCCACCGCTGTGTATCACAGGCTTTTCCTGAACATGCTGTTTGCTGTAAGATGTCCCCGTGGGGATGGGCTGTCAGTCTTTGTCAGCTGGCTTCTAGCAGGTTAGTCTCCCTCTAGTCCCTATTCTGCCACACAGCTAGCTGGTTCAAGCCCTTGTTTTCTGAAATGACTACAGTGTTGTTCCACACCACACACAAATCCAAAACCCAGTCTGCATCTTTGTTCCAATTGTATCATCTGTATAACAATTCAGGCGTGTGATGCAAACCTTTAATCCCTGCACTCCCAAGGGAGAGGCAGGCAGACCTCTTGAGTTTGAGGCCATTCCTAGACTACCAAAGTGAGTTGCAGGCCAGCCAGGGCTACATAGTGAGACCTATCTCAGAAGAAAGAGGCTTGGTGCATACAGATGTGTAAAGATAAAGCATCAATTTCAGAAGAGAATTATATCAAAAACATGCACCAAAACTGGCCAACTAGTACTCAGAAGTGTTGTTCTCTTGGCCTTTGAGAGTGCAGGGGAGATGGTCATTAGTTCCTAGACCTTGTAGCCAAACGAGACCCAGATTACCACCTGTGTAGCCAGTTGGATACAGGACCAATCTAAACCAAACTGTCTTAAAGTTGAGGTTCGCCCCCCGCCCCAGGTGCTGTCTGAGGTTTGGGGACCTGGACTGCTGTTGGCATATTTTCCAGCAGGACTTCAGTCTTAAAGCCACATCTACTTCTAGACAGAAGTCTAGGTAGGACTTGGAACTCCATCGCTTACTGTATGTACCGTGGCCACTTGAAATTCTATATGCCAGTTCATCTCCCTTTGTCATCTGTGGGTAGTAAGAGGATGGACCGCAGCTGGGGTCTACATTTTCACAGCATGGTGACACTGTGGGAACTGACTGCCTCAGTGACTTTTACTTGGTTCCAAAAGTATCTTACAGGTAGAACTTGCTCTGTTAAAGTTTCAGCTGATCCTGGGCCACAAGAGCTATAATGAACCTGAAGAACCTCTTGACCTTGAAAAAGTTGTTTTGATTATAGGGCTCATATGGCTCTAAGTATTTTTCACTTTCCCCCAAAGCAAGGCAGTTCTTCCCAACCTCTCAAAGTGCTGTGGCTGCAGAGGAGAGCATGTGTTTCCCCCGAGGGTGTTGCTGTCACCCCCTTCCCTCCAGGAGGCAGTGAGCTTCCAGGAGGTGCACAGCCCAACACACCATGCTTTTCATTTCTTTCCATCTGGCACAAGTTGTGAAGCACATGTGGACTGACCTGGGCAGGAAGACTGGGAAGTGGGAGGTGTGTGGAACCTTGTAATATCTAGGCACGCAGAACAGAAAGTGTGCATCCAGTGATCAGAGGCAGCACTGTGGAAAGATGAGGCTCAGCCATCCAGATATTACATGAGCACCCTCTATGGAAGCAATCTTTATTTGCATTTTAAGAGAGAACACATGAAAAAACTGCTGCAACAAGCTGAAACAATGCTCAGTCCCTTTTTACGTGACTTCCTAGGGACAAAGTCAAAGACTTGAGGAAAGCCAAGCAATGGAATGCAAACACAGGAGTTACCTAGGATTCACCTTAGTAAACATGGCCACCTCCAGCCATTCCCAGAAGTATCTTTGCTCATGGTAAACAAAATACCAAGCTGTACATAAAACAAACATGATGTTGCCTATGCTGGCCTTGTGTATAGAGGAAGAATTGTTAGACCATGACAAAAAAGGCAGATGGCTGTGAGGAATTAAAATCACAATTCTTTGTGTCTAGGAACATTTGACTGGCAACAGTTGTATCATCCAGATATTCACAGGAACAGTAGATTCTCTTCCTATCCCAAAAGAAGCGCAACAGGAAACAGACACAAAACACAGGAGATACTGTTCACCAGGTGGTTGCAGCACAGCCTGGAGGAGTGATCACGAGGGCCAGGGTGAGAGGTGCCCTTGGTGGTACTCCCCAGGGTCTGTTATGGGGTGGGTATTTACAGGAGGATTAGACAAAATAGTTAACTACTAAAGGTATCCAAAAAAGGCCTGAGAAACTGGTTAAAATGCATAACCTTGTATTGCTACTGATGGGAGTAGTCATTTTTATATCTTTTAAAAATAATAAAAAGATTCTGTTAAAAAATATACTTATCCAGAAAGATGTTGATTTGAACTCTAAAAAGCAATGTGGAACCATCCCTTCCCTTGATGACGAAGAGTGCTGTTCCATGTGAGCTCCTTTCTGATTCAAATCATCCCTTCCTCTAGTGCTGCTAGGCCACAAGGCAGGTTCTCCCCAAGCTCTGAGGAAAATCCTTCACTGCAGCAGGCACAGAACACACCCTGGATGGGTCTCTGCTGTTCCAGTGGTTTGGCCAGCTTGCCCACTGTGAGAACCAGCCAGGGATTCCCCTAGGTGCTCCTCCAAGGACAGGATTAGCTGCCTTCTGTATAACCTGGGGGATCCTGCTCTCAAAGAACTGCCTTTACAGATTGAAATCAGATCCCTCAGCAGGTAAGTAAGGTGGCTTGAAACTATTAGTAATTTTTAAGGCTAAGGCAACATCCGTGGTCATTTGTATATCTTAATTTGATGCAAATAGTTAACCATAATCTAAAATAGATCCTGTACATATCCTCTCTAACATTAGCTGGGGCTGAAAAGGAATGAACTGAGGTGGAAGTGGAGCATGTGACAGTGTCCTAGGAACCCTGTAGAAAGGGAAGGAAAAGAGGAATCGGCACAACCCGTTTCTTTGGTGAACAAGAAGGAAGGTCTCAAGTTCTCACTTCACTCTACAAAGCCTGCTGTTACTCTCGAATAGAAAAGCACCAACTCTGCAGTGACTTGTTCTGTCATCACTTCTGATTAGAAATGCAGCTACACACCTGCTGGATGGCGTCTCTGTCTTAAAGCTGGTAGTAAAAATGTGACCTGCAAGCCAGTACAATGAATGGAAATGGCGGTGCTCCCCCCCTCAGCCTGGAGATGGGCCTGCCAGTTCCCCCTTCTCCACTCTGGGGAATGGACCGAGGTGGAAGTGGAGCATATGACAGTGTCCTTGGGACTGCCACCCTAGATGGGCCCGGGAGTCCCTGGTCCTGCACCTCTGTGTAAAGAAGAGGCAGCTGCACCAAGTGTAGGCTCTAGTCCTAGGGCCTCAGCTGACACTGCAGCACTCATGTTCAGCCCAGAGCCCCTGCTTTGTACAGCCTGTGGACAGAAAGATCTATTTCTCAGTGAGTGACAGCTGTAAGACTTGCTGGAGTTCAGCCTCCTCCTCCTGGAGCCGAAGCTCCTGCTCCGCTAGCTCTTTGGCAGACAGCTCCATGGCCAGCTGTAGGTCACTATCAAAACGGCTTGACTCACTCAGGGCACCTGGGCACGAGCTTTCCATGTTGGTCAGGAGGCTCTCCTGGATGGCCCTGGAGTGGAAATGGGAGACAAGATTCATTCCTATCACTGAGGTGGTGGTAGCGACTACATCCCTAACCTTACCAGCACACCCTGTGCCAGGAACTCTATAGGCATTTCCCCTGAGGGGTCAAGGGGCTATGTACAGGTGCGGCACCTGACATCCAGCATCACCCAGCTACCAAGTGATTGTGCTGTGACCAGAACCACAGTCTGTTCTAAAGCAAAACTGAGATTCTTGATCTAGAACTCCAAATGCCTGATGCGTAGGAAAAAGAATGCACTGTTGTACGTTTCCCATAAAAAGGGTTTCTGGTCATTTCTGTAGTTCTTCCCCAAAGTGCCATCATTTTTAACATTGCAAATCTCCCCATCCAGAGCCTGTGATCACATATTTATAAACAAAGCCAACCAAAAAACATTGGCTTGATGCTTTCCTGCCAGCAGCCCTAGGCTGTGAGCCAGCCAGCACTGGTCACCCATCTGAAATGCACTACTGGGATCAAGCTGGCATAATGAGTAACAGCCATGAGAAAAAGCAACAGAGCCAACACATCAACCTGCTGAGCCCAAGCCACACGTCTGCCCATGCATTAAGTGCCTGTGTCAGCTTGGTTTGACAAGAGCCACAAAATCAAAAGTCCCATCAGTCACCTCTCATACTGGGCATCATAGCTGTGTGTGGGGCTGATCCCTCCATTTGAAGCTGGTCCTGAAAGTTCCTGGCAAAAACAAACGATGGACATGAATACTTCGTTGAAGGAACAGCTGCCAAAATGACAAGGAAATGAAAGCAGATAGAATAAAATTTAAAATATTTACAGCCTATTACTTAGTTTTGTGTGAGCTCTCACAGCAGCGTGGTTACATCAAAGGTGACTCAAACATGCCGGGTAAATACTTTTTACCATATGGTCAGGGTATCAGCACCACCTAGGGTTTATTTAGAGCCACACCTCACTGAACCTAATATCAACCTATAACAGGCATTAACCTTGGGCAGCAGCTAAATGACCAAAGCAGGTCATTTTTTCAAGGCTAGCTTAGACATAATTTCTGTTTGACACTGAACTCTGAACTCCGACTACTACCTTTGTCAAAATTTACGGTTAGCCGGGCGTGGTGACGCACGCCTTTAATCCCAGCACTCCAGAGGCAGAGGCAGGTGGATCTCTGTGAGTTCGAGGCCAGCCTGGTCTATGTAGTGAGTTCAGGATCTAGGCAGGGAGACTCTGTCTCAAAAAGACCAAAAAAAAAAAAAAAAAAAAAAAAAAAAAAAAAAAAAACTTGGGCTAAGCAAGGTTTATACAGACTATGGGGGAGCAGAACTAAGCTCGCTTGCTGAGAACCATGTACCGGCTGACAGTTCTGCTGGATCTTCTGCCAGGACGTCCAAAGGGAGGTGGCCTAGCAGCCTCAAAAAATAACATGAATCTGGAATGGTCTATGGTGGTAGCAGGGGATGGGGAAGTAAGGAAGAGGACTAACATTACTCAAGCCCCAAGACTTATGGATAAACCAGACAGCTAAGTGACAGGAATGCTGGGACATGGGCACTATTTTCAAAGCCCAGTGGCTCCAGCAGAGGTTAATTCACACCAAGAAGTCCCAGTTATGCTCTACAAATGCCTGCTGAACAAACAGTCCAAAAAAGAAACTAGTGACTACCAGGCAGAGAGTAAAAACCCAGAACACAGAGGGTGAAGAAACCAGGACAGCTTCCTGGAATACAGTGGAAGCCACAGGAGGGAGGGGAGTTATCGGGGGATGTCAGGGAAGGCCTGAACCCTCAGACTGTTGCAAGCAGGTGAGGTCTGGAGGAACAACAGAGCAACTGCTGTTCTCACATATGCTAAGCAACCATTACACGATGGTTGTAGTCCTTGGGGAGGGAGGTGACATGAAATGTCACATCACCTTAATCTAAGACAAATGACAATACATAATGCTTCAGTACTAGAAAACCATAAAGTACCTTGAAAAATACACAATTAATAGCTACGTGGTGAATGTAAGGAAAAGGTAAGTCTGTCTGAAGACTCCTTGTGAATGATTGTCTTTTATAGAGCAAACTTTTATGAATGACCAAGGGCACAGACTATAGAATGACCCACATAAAAGCCAGGACTGCTGAGTGTGGTGGCACACGCCTTTAATCCCAGCACTCAGGAGGCAGAGGCAGATGGATCCTCTGAGTTCAAGGCCAGCCTGGTCTACAGAGTGAGTTCCAGGCAGCTGGAGCTACAAGAAACCCTGTCTCAAAAAGACCAAAAAAAAAAAAAAAAAAAAAAAAAGCCACGACTGTACCCAGCTTGCTAACCCAGAGGCGGCACTCCAAGCCCTGCCATTCATGACAAGTATACCTGGCTCCTGCTGGACTCCAGCAGACTCTGTTGGATGGCAAACTGCATTATCTCATAATCCTCATCCTGCAGGTGAACATTTCTGCCATTGTCTTGAACGTGGTAGGATTCGGGGATTTCAAACACAGACTGATCAACCTCAAAGTTAGTGATGTCAGAAGCTGAAACACAAAGGCAACTGTCCAGTGTCAAGTTCATTAGAATAAATTTAGACATTTTTCCCCTTTTGTTTTTTTAAACACCATCTATGCAGCTCAAGCTAGCCTCAAATTCAAAACACAGCCCAGGCTGGCTCCAAACTCATAATCCTCCTGCCTCAGCCTCCAGAATTCTGGAATTATAGGCATGTGCTACCATACCTAGTCTACACTCCAAATTGGAGAGCAGGGGAGAGGATATGGGCATCTGTCTTCACTTGTGTATGTGGGATTTTTTGTTTAGTTGGGTTTTCTTGAAATGGGGGATCTTACTGTATTGCTCACTCTAACCTTGAATACCTGGTCTCAAAAGATCCTCCCACCTCAGCCTCCCAAGTGCTGGGACTACAGGCATGAGTAATTGTTCTCTGCTTTAAGATATTTTAGATTAAAAAAATAAAAATAAAATGGTAACAGTCAGAGGGCTGGGGATGTCACTCAGTGGAACAGTGCTTGCCTAGCACATGCCAGGCTCTTGTTCACTGCCCAGTAAAGCAAATAAATGACAATAAAATACAAAAAATAAAGCCAAAGATCAGTGATAATAATTAATTTACTAGTTAGAGAATTTGGAATGTAATTATGACAGTGAAATGTATCAGCATAGTTTTTCTTTTTGTCATGATTTTTCTTAATGAAAAACTAATGTATAATCATAAAAATTAGAGTAAAATAGAAAGTAAAGATTTTTCTCTATATACCAGTTCTATTTCCAAACTCCGTAAGTAGTAGCCAGGGTCAGGGTGGGAATGGGGTATGGCTCAGGCTTGTTTGGCATACAAGGCCCTCGGTTCATTTCCCAGCACCACTAAAAAACAATGGTAACCAGGGCTTGCTTGTGTATCCCTCAAGGACTGTGATGCACATACAATAGAGCATCACACCCAGTTCATCCCTTCTGAATGATGTTCCACTCCTCCCCACCAGGTAAATACATTAAATTAAGACCAGTGGTTTTCAGTACCTATCACGTTTCTGCAGTTTTACCATATAGGCATAATCTGAATAGTTTAATTTGGCACAAACAGAATCATAGAATATATTCAAATTCATTTTTTATATTCAGCATTATGTTTTTAAGATTTACCAGTTTGGAGCTGATGGCTCCATGAGTAAAGGCACTTACCACCATACCTGAGAACTTGAATTCTATCCCCAGGACCCATATGATCAAAGAAGAGAATCAACTCCTGCAAGTTGTCTTCTGACTTTTACACGAATGCTGTAGTATGTGCACGAAATACACATATATACACACACATAAATGTAATTAAAAGTTTTAAAGAGATTTACTAGTTTTGATGCACTTGGCTATACATTTTTATTTTGCTGCTACTTTATTCTGTGGTAACTGGCACATTCTATGATCTAAGACCATCTGGGTGCTTTCCAGATTTTTGTTATTGTAAACAATGCTGCTGTCCAACACTGGGGTCTCCACGTCTGTAAATCTCTCTAAAAACCACACCTAGAAACTTTTAGGTTATAGAATTGACACATCTTCAGTGTAGTAATGTCCAATTTTTTTTTCAAGAAAGTATACTAGTTTTCTCCGTCTGCCAAGAGTAAATGTATGTTCTTTTGCTGTACAACCTTAGGGCCACATATTATACAATATTATTGCTACACAGAGTGTAAAGTTGTATATTTTTTAATGAATTATTTTTATTTATTTATTTTATTTATTTATTTTTTTTGGTCTTTTTGAGACAGGGTCTCCCTGTAGCCCCAGCTGTCCTAGAACTCACTACACAGACCAGGCTGGCCTTGAACTCACAGAGATCCGTCTGCCTCTGCCTCCCGAGGGCTGGGATTAAAGGTGTGCGCCACCACGCCTGGCTAAATTATTTATTTTTATTTCTCTTCTTCAATCATATGGATCCTGGGAATAGAATTCAGGTAGTCAGGTGTGGTGGCAAGTGCCTTTACCCACATGGAATGTTTTGCCTGTAAGTGCAGCACATGTGTGCAAACCCACAGAGGCCAGAAGAGGGCTTTGGATCCCCTAGAACTGGAGTTAAAGGTAGCTGCTAGTCATCATGTGGGTGCCAGGAACAGAGCTCAGATCCTCCAGAAGAGCAGCCAGGGCTCTTAACCACTAAGCCATCTCTCCATTTCCTGTGCATTATTACTGATTCCAGTTTTTCCATTTGAAGTTTTAATTTATATGCATAAAATGCTCTCTTTGAATGCATCACACTAGGAGACTAAGAGGAGAAAAACCATGAGCAGCTCAGATCTGTATGAAAAGCACATGAGAAAATCAATACTCAATAATGGTAAAAACTCCCACTGAGTGTGATTGTCTAGCACCACAAAATAAAACATCTCTCAACAATCCAGGAATACAAGGACATCTACAAAACCTACAACTAACCTTAAGGACAAGGTTACTCCCACTCCCCTGAAACCAGGCAGAGGGAGGGTGCCCTTGCTAGCCACTTGCTCTGATCAGGCAGAGGAAGGATACCCTTGCTAGTCACTCTTATCAACACTGCTCTACAGATGACCAGGCCAGTCCATTAAGGCAAGAGAAAAAAAAAGAAAAGAAAAAGAAAAACTTAACAAATGGCAAGGAAGAACTGAAACTGCACTTTTGCACCAACAACGTGCTATGCGTGATATATGTAAGAAAGTCTAAGGAATCTATCAGAAACCTATCAGCAGTCAAGTGAATTCAGTAAGATTCAAGGCACAGGGTCAAAATACAAAAATCAGTTATACTTCTAAATGCTAGCAGCTGGAAAATCAGAAAAGAAACCCATTTAAATTCACATCCAAAAATATGAATTGGACTGATGGAGCAAAGGGATGTAAGGAATCTGGAAGCACCGAAGCACCCTGTGGACTGTGTGGTATTTACACAGGTCATATATGAGTCCAAGTGCACTGAGCTATTGTACTTAATACACATTACACTAGGTAGAGCTATCTTTAGGAACATGCTATCATTTTAAAATAATTGGGATTGTTTATGTCTGTTATGATCAGGGCATGAGGAGTCCCCCTGAAAGGCTCATGTGTTCAAGGTGTAGTTGATAGTTGATAGGCTTTTTGGAAGTGACTCCATCACAAGCACTTTGACCTCATCTACATGTTAATCTGTTGATGGATTCATAATTTGATGAAATTAATGGGAAGGGGGAAATTTTCAGAGCTGGGGCTCAGTTGGAAGAAGTGGCTTACTAGAGCTGTTACAACTACTTCGGGGTTCTATCTTATCCTGGGCTCTTCTCTGCCTGTCTCTGCTTTCTGGGTACCAAAGGTGAGTATCTCTGTTACAAAATACCCTTCCATGATATTCTGCCTCACACAGGCCCAGAAGCAATGGAGCCAGCTGACCATGAACTAAAACCATGAGCCAAACTGAGCCTTCCCTCCTTCAGTAGTTTCAAGTGTTTTGTTACAGGGATGAAAACTGACTAACATATCCTCAGGTTATTTTTTCATGTCATCTAAACTAAATCTAAAATTTCCTCTTATGTTATACAGATCTACTCCATATGACACCTCACATTCAAATGGTCAGTGTGAAGGCTCAGACACATGACTTTGATGTGTTGACAACCTTCTGGGTTTTGTCTTTTTTAATTTATTATTTATTTGATGTGTATGAGTGTTTTGCCTGCCTATATGTAAGTGTAGCCATGTGTGCAATGCTCACTGAGATCAGAAGAAAGCCTCAGTTCCGTGGACAACTGTGAGCTACCATGTGGGTGCTGGGAACAGAACCTGGGTCCTCTGCAAGAGCAGACAGTGCACTTAACTTCTGAGCCATCTCTCCAGCCCCCTCAACCTTCTGTTTTTACCTGTGTGGGGCTGGATCCCTTCCACATTCTGACTTTCTTCAGCAGTGTTACAGCCATTGACGTTTCCAAATGTGATCCGTGCGTTTAAAACATGAAATAGGGGGATTTCTAGCAAAATAAAAGCTTTCGTAAGTAGACTTCACTGAGAATAGCAATCATCTGCTGACGACTTACAAGACATTCTGTGCTAAGCACACTATCACACGGTTTCATTCAATCATAACACCCCTCCCCAAAATACAGATGGGAAAATAGATTCACTCTGAGGCAGAGCTGAAATGTTTTCTCCTCAGTTGCAGTGAGTCAGGATTCAAGTATCAAGAACACTCAGCAATCTAAAATCCAGGGTCCTCCTGCGTAAGTCTGTATTATATATACAACACTGCATACTAGTTGAGACCCTAAAACGTGTTTTTTGTATCAAAAGATCCTGGTGTCAAATGCCTTCCTTAAATAATCATCTAGAAGGGGGGTGGATCTGGGAGGAAGTAGGGAAGGAATGGGGATCAAATATGATTAAAATACATTGTATGCATGTATGAAATTCTCAAAGAACAAAATATTAAAAAAAATAATTATTGGGGCTGGTGAGGTGGCTCAGCAGCTAAGAGTACTAGCTGCTCTTGCAGAGGACCCGAGTTCAATTCCTAGCACCCACATGGCAGCTAACAACCATCCCTAACTCCAGTTCCAGGGGATCTGACACCCTCTTCTGACCTCCGTAGGCATTGCATAACATAGGTTCACTCACATACATACAGGCAATACACTCATACACATAAAATAAAAACAGTAAGTAAGGCTGGGTGTGGTGGCACATGCCTTTAATCCCAGCACTCAGAAGGCAGAGGCAGGTAGAACTCTATGAGTTCCTCCATAATGAATCCAGGCCAGCTGGGGCTACAGGGAGACCCTGACTCAAAAAGACTGAAAAAAAAAAAAAAAAAAAGACAGTAAGTAAAATTTTTTAAAAAGTATTTAATTTGAAGTTTCACTTAAGTAAGCCTTAACAGAGTAATGTCATGTTTTATGCCTTTTTATGTCTGTTAGCACCATTTGTAAAATGGCTGGGCACATAATTTTGATATGCAAATGAACGAAAAATCATGACTTTTTTTAAATCCACTCAAGCAGAGGCCAGCTCTGACCTCCTCCATTGTTATATGCTACCTTGCTCTTAATGTGCTCTAGGTTCCATGAAACCTGCAAGTACTCCTCAGCCTCATTCAAATGTACCTATTTTGACAGGGAATCCAGGTGGAAACTCCAGCTTGATGAAATCTCTCAATCTTGCAAAATGAGCGCTAGTCCGGGCCATGAGGTCGATGATAGGAATGACCTGTTCCTCTAGCGAGAGGGGGAACTCTTCACACATCCACAGTGTTGCTTTAAACCTGCACGGTTTGAGAGAGAAAAGGCTGAGGCCATCTCCCCTGGGCGGGCGGCAGGCAGACACTGCTGGGCAGCAAGCTGAACACACAGGCCTCTGGACTCCACATGCTTCCCCAGTGTCTCTGAACCCAGAACCTGTGAGGGACTGAAACTCTGAGGAGCTCAAATCGCCCTGAAACTCCACAGTGGGTGAAATGGCCTCTTTACAGCCTGGCCCTGCAACAGCCTCAACTGATACCCAGCATCCACACAGAAACTACTTCATTTGATCAGCAGACACTTGTTGGCAGAAAAAAAAAAAAAAAAATTCTTACATCTAATCCATATTCTCCACGAAAAAAGCCAATCAGAGAGGTGATTTACTGTTGACTTTGTCAAAGCAGTTTCAAAACAATTTTCAAAGAAGGGCAAGGAATGGTCAAACCTAACACCAAAACCCAGAACAACTTCTGAGACACTCCCTAAATTGAAAATGAATCTTCACTCTTACTTCTGGGTTCTAATCGTCAGCTCTTTTGGCCTTCCAATGTCCCTGTCTTTCAGATCAAAGGCTTCGTCAAAGTACTCATCCGGTGTGATGGCCGTGGGGTTGTTTGCGGTGGCACATTCCGTAGTGAGGTCCTGCTAAGCCAGAATTCAGAGGAGTCAGAGGTACCAAGTGACACTTACCAGTGGAGGCTGGCAGATGTGATCTCTAAGGTGGGCACTCCAGCTAGCTATGGATCTGGGTATTCTACTCACTTCACTTAAGTTACATCGGGGAACAAGCAGACCTAAAACAGGATTAGCAGGCAGGCTACATGGCAAGTCAGTGGACTTCCACATTTAAAACACGAATCCAGCCGGGTGTGGTGGCACATGCCTTTAATCCCAGCACTGGGGAGGCAGAGGCAGGCAGATCTCTGTGAGTTCTAGGCTAGCCTGGTCTATGTAGTGAGTTCTAGGCCAGCTGCTGAGGCTATAGGGAGACCCTGTCTCAAGAAGACAAAAAGTAAATAAATAAATAAATAAATAAATAAACCCATAGAAAAGCCTGCCCTAGTTCTCTGTATGTCTTCATGCCATAAGAAACACTGTTTGCCTGTTGGTCCTGTTGTCACAG